CAATCCACTCACCTCAGCCTCCCAAAGGCGCGGGATGACAGGCTGAGCCACCGAGCCCGGCTATGTCCAGCAGTTTTGGACCAAAAACAACAGGACCTCCATGCCTCACCCTCCCTATTCGCCTGCTCTCGTCCTGAGCAACTGTTTTTTGTTTCTCTGGATTAAAAAAACTCTCAAAGGGAAACGTTTTGCTGATGTGGAAGAGGCGAAACAAAAAACAGCAGAAGCACTAAAAGGCATCAAGATTGATGAGTTCAAATACTGTGCAAAAAGCACCTCGATAGGCGTATTACATCAAATGGAGATTACTCTGAAGGTGACTGACATTTAAACATTAAAGAATAAATACACAATCTTTTATCAGTTAATTCCGGGTTTTGGGGGGGTCTCCCCTCGTATATAAAGACGGGGGCATTTCAGCAGCAGAGAAGAGTGGAGTCTCTTGTTTTCTCCTGGTCTCCCATCTCTCTCCACTTCTACCCCCAAGTCAATAATTATATAAATGTATATGATATAATTATTTTATAAAATTATTTAGCCAAAAGAAAGACAAAACCACTGCTAGGCTTATAATAACAAGATGATGATGATGATAATAATAATAATAATAGCTGGACACAGTGGCTCATAGCTATAATCCTAGCAACTTGGGAGGCCAAAGTGGGAGGATCGCTTGAGTCCAGGACCAGCCTGGGCAACATAGCAAAATCTCATCTCTACAAAAAATCAAATCATTAGCCAGAGATGGTGGTGCATGCCCGTAAATCCCAGCTACTTGGGAAGCTGAGGTGGAAGGATCACCTGAGCCCAGGAGATCGAGACTATGGTGAGCTGTGATCATGCCACTGCACTCCAGTCTGGGTGACAGAGTGAGACGCCAACTCAATAACAATAATAACAAAATAGTGATCGTGATAATAATTCAGTGGTCACAGTGTGCCGGGTGCCAGTTAAATCAGCTCTACGGGGGGTCAGCTTCTAAGCTGGGTTTGGCTCTGATCAGTAGTTTAGCTCAAGGGATCAAAAAGTCATGCTGGAAACACCGGACCACTCCAATATGCCGCTGAATTTGACCATCAGGATACCAACAGCAAATACAATCCTACCTTGTGACAGCTGAAATTTGTGTCCAGCCTCACCTCTCAGTGGAAACACCCCTTCTGCGCCACAGCTTTCTAAGATAGAAATCCTGTTGACACAGGTGTATGAAGATAAGAAGCGCTGACCGGGACAATGTGCCTAGGAGACAGCTTCGAATTCGGTTGGCAAAAAGTTTAGTAACCTCTGCCCTGCAGCCATAAAAGTCGTTCTTTGGAATGCACACCTTTCAGAAAATAAAATGCTTCCTCCCCGATGACTAGGGACTAACCCTCAGATTTACACCCGAGCAAGTTAAGGAATTTCCTTTTCCATAATTTAGTTCTGGGTGTGGTTGATTGTCAGACGCTCTCTGTGTGTCCTGGTCTCTTTTCTGGAACCCTGGTATGTTTGAAGTAAACAAAAGCCTTGCCATTATTTAGCAAATAATGAGGGCTGAATAATTTATTTAGCAAAATAGGATAAGTCCTGCTCTGGAAAGGTGAAGGCTTTTCCTGAGAACCAAGACTGAGGAACACGGGGAAGGGTTGGAGAAGACAGAACTCTGGGTGATCTCTGCTGAGTTTGGGTTTTTAGGTCTGCCCCTGCTCTTCTAAGGAAGGCCCATCCCAAGGACAATAAGGACTTTTGTGTGTCTCTCACCTCTCACTTTGGCTTCGGGGGGGTCAATGGTAAGACTGTGTTATCCAAAGTCTAAGTTGGTAAAACATTGTATCGTATTGCTCTGACCTCACGAATACCAAGCACCATTGCAGTGGCCGGGGCCTTGAATGACACCAACAGCCTGCTTTGTGGCGAGCTGGTCAAAGTCGTGCTAGTCTGATTGACCCTTTCCTGTTTTGGAGAGTGGTGCCTTTCCTTGCCCGGTGAAGACAGGTCTGCAGTGTGTGCACTGGGTCACCATGGCCTTATCAGGACACAGGCGGCATGCTCAGAATAGGAGGGTTTACACTCAGAGAGGTGCTATCGAAGACGCTGGGGAACGGAGAGCCATCAATGATGGTATGGACACACGGGGCCTGCAGCAGTCTCGCTGTTACCCCCCATGGGCCTGAGGGATGATGGGAAGGAACCCTACCAAAACCTGGAAGGAGAGAGAGAGAGAGAGTCATGTGGAGGCGGCCGACATCAGAGAATCAGTGACTGTCCTGTGACACAGCCAGTCTGAGGTGACCTTGCACCAAAAATAAAAAACAAACACCCCAACTTTTCCCCTCTCCCTCTCATCTTCCCAGAGCGCTCCATTGGCCAAGCCCAGTAGAAGCCAGAGTGGTACATGGGGGTGTTCATGAAATCCACACAGGAGTCAAAATTAGCTGGACATGGTGGTGCCTGCTTGTGGCTTCAGCTACTTGGAAGGCTGAGATGGAAGAATCACCTGAGCCCAGCAGGTCGAGGCTGCAGTAGCTGTGAGTGTGACACTGAACGCCAACCTGGGCCACAGATTGAGACTCCTACTCAGAAAGAAAAAAAAAAAGAAAAAAGAAATCCATTCGGGGCTGCCTTCAGGGGGCTGAAGAGGGAACCAGCCTGAATCTGAACATGGCCTTGGTGACTGACACGATGGGGGCTTCAGAAACTTATTCAACAGACATTTAGTTTCCACCGTGTGGGAGGCACCAGGGGAGGCTGAAGATTCCGAGGCTGTAGCATCTCACGGAATGACACGATGAGCTTGGCGGGGTTCATGTGAACTCTCACAGCAATCCTGCAAGGCGGTGAGATCATCCTTATTTGACTGTTGGGCTTTCCAGAAGAAATGGGCTTGCCCAAGTCACAGCTGGAAGGCACCAGAACCGAGGCTCATCCCAGGGTGACTCCCGGGCTTCCCCTCACTTTTTTTTTTTTTTTTAAAGAGTCAAGGTCTCCTGCTGTTGCCCAGGCTGGAGTGCCATGATGCTGTCATAGCTCACTGCAACCTCCAATTCCTGGGCTCAAGTGACTCTCCTGCCTCAGCCTCCTGAGTAGTTGGTACTACAGGTACATGCCACTGTGACTGGCTAATTTAAAAAATTTTTTTGTAAAGACAGGCTCTTGCTATGTTGCCCAGGCAGGTCTTGAACTCCTGGCTTCAAAGGATACTCCTACCTAGGGTTCCCTAGGTAATGGGATTACTGGCATGAGCCACCATGCCTGGCCATGGGTTGCCCCCTGAAGAAGCCCCCTTTGCACAAGGAAGTCTATCGAGGAAGAGAACCAGCATATTCGCGTAGAGGAATCTCTGTCCAGAATTGTAGTAGGCAGGAAGAGCTGGGAACAGGAACCTGGAAACCAAGAGAGTTTATTTCTCTCCTTCAGGTGACTAAAATAGCATCTGAAATGCTCTCAAGTGGGCAAAAATGCAAAAATGTGGAAAGCCACTGGGGCAGCTGAACTGAAGGAGTAGGAAACAACCACAGCGCAGCATGACCAGAGTTGTGGGGGAAGGCGGCCCAGGAGGTGGGGGACGCCGGCCTGGGAGCCCCGCAGGCAGGGTCAGGAAGGGATTTCCTCCACCAGAGTTGTGGCTTTGTTTCTTGTGAGATGGGGCCCTGGACTCACACATGATGAAACACAAGGCGGCCAGCCTGAGAGGCAGGACCCCAGAGGGGAAGTGGGCGTCTGTGTGCTGTCCGGCTCCTGTGTTCGGTGTCTGCCCTGGGCTGCTGGCTCGGTCTCTCCGGTGCTCAGAGCCAGGGAAGAGCCATCGGGCAACATGACATCACAGCCTGCATGGGGTCCTCAAAGCGGGGTCCCCGGACCAGGGGCCTCGACATCACCTGGGAACTTGCCGGAAGCACCGATTCTCGGGTCAGACAAAAGTCAGTCTTCTGAACACAAGCCACAGTGGCAGGCACTGATTTTCAGGGGAGCTACTCTTCAAATGGGCACCCCCTCTGCAGTTGGCAATCCCTGGGTAGCTATAAGGACTTAAAACATTTTTATGGGTACATAATAGTTGTATATTTATTTATGAGCTACATGTGACATTTTGATATAGGCATACAATGTGTAGTGATCAAATCTGGGTAGTTGGAATATTCATCACCTTAAGTATCGATTATTTCTCTGTGTGGGGGAACATTCTAAATCTTCTCCTCTAGCCGTGTTCAAATGTACACTAAGTTATTGATAACGATGGTCATCCTCTTGTGCTATGGAATACCAGATTTAGTCCTTCCATATAACTGGATGGGTGTAGCCATAAACCAGCCTGTCTTTATCTCTCCTCCCCCACCCTTCGCATCCTCTGGTAATCACCATTCTGTTCACTGCCTCCATGAGAGCAATGGTTTCAGCTCCCACATATGAGTGAGAATATGCGGTATTTGTCTTTCTGTGCCTGACTTATAACATAATGTCCTACAGTTTCATCCATGTTGCAGAAAATAACAGGATCCAATGACATTCTTCATAGAAATAGAAAAAAAAATCCTAAAATTTGTACAGAACCACAAAGGACCTCAACTAATGGGCAAGCCTTTGAAGTGTTTTCAGGAGGAAATGGCTTTGGCATGATTCTCTGAGTCCCTGCCTCTCTGTGCTAACCGCACACAAGAATTGCCCGAGGAGTTACTTGAGAGAAAATTCAGTTGCTAGGCTCCACTCCAGATGAGAAGCGCCAGGCTCAGGCTGGGGTCCTGGAGTGGGCTGGAGCTGGTGCTGAATGGCCGCTCTGAATGCCATTTTTTTAATCCAGTCCTCTTTTGATGGGCAGTATGGTTGGTTCCGTGTTCTTGCTATTGTGAACAATGCTGCAAAAAGCATACGTGTGCAGGTACCTTTTTCATAGAGTGATTTGAGTTCCTCTAGGTATATTTCCAGTAGAGGGATTGCGGGGGTCATATTGAAAGTTGATTTTTAGATCTTTTAGGAATCCAGTGGCTTGACTTTAATATTGGCCTTCTGTTTCTCTTTCAGGGATGTCCAAATCACGGGTGAGTGCATCTTCTCCATGTATCTTCATTTTGGAAATGTTATAATCTGCTTTACTCCTAAATGTTCATTCACCTAACAGACATGTCTTGTGCAACTAGCATTGATGAGAGCATAATCCTGAGTAACGGTGTGAGACGTCTTTTCCTTAGGAAATGCAGCAATAGTCTTTTTCCAGAGTAACAACAAAACTAGATGTTTTATTTCATTGCTGTCTCTATGTGAAATGATTAATGTAAGGGAATAACAGTTTTAAATTTTGGCTGGGGGCAGTGGTTCACTCCCAGCATTTTGGAAGGTCGAGGCAGGAGGAATGCTTGAGCCCAGGAGTTCGAGACCAGCCTGAGCAATGTAGCAAGACTCTGTCTCTACAAAAAATAAATTAATTAAATTCTAGTTTCTATCCCTAGAGAATCACTGATAAGTTTCTGAATCTGCACTGGCTATTTTTCACACCTTTGCTAGTCTATGGACATGGCCATGAAGAGCATATTTCAATTCTACACTGTTTTCCTTTTTGTCAGAGTTGCTTTGGTTATCCCTTGAGCATCTTCTTCATTGTGGTCAACGAGTTTTGTGAGAGATTCTCCTACTATGGAATGAGAGGTAACTGTTTCAGCCACTTCTCACCCTTGAGTGAAGAGCGGGAGTTATCACAGCCAGTCCTGACATTGTTTCCCCTTTTCCCCCACCTGCTGCCCGCGGAAAGCACTCCTGATTCTGTACTTCAGGAATTTCTTTGGCTGGGATGATAATCTGTCCACCGCCATCTACCATACATTCATCGCTCTGTGCTACCTGACGCCGATTCTCGGGGCGCTTATTGCTGACTCGTGGCTGGGAAAGTTCAAGTGAGTGTTTGGAAGTTTCTTGTTCACAAGCAAACCAACAAATAAATGTGAGCTTTGTGGCTGGGGATAGTGGGATCTGGGCATGAAGAACCAAGGAACTTAAATTTAGAAGAGCATTTGCAGCCCTGTTTCTGTTCAATATCATATCTCCAGAGCCTAGCGAACGCCTGAAATAGTATCTGGGATACTGTCTATCATGAATGCTGTGCGGAGGCATGGAGTTAAGGGTTGAGAAAACCAAGAAACTCCCTAATGTATGTCTTGGTTGCTGAGGGGCTCACACTGCTCAGTGGGCCAAGATGACACGTGGTGTGAGGTTGTTAAGGAGGTCATTCACCCAAACCTGCAGGAAGCACTCCAAGATCCAGCAGGAGGTTATCAGAAAAAGGTTCCTAGGACTTAATGAAGGAAGTAGAGGCTCTTCTAGGCCAGAAAAATGACACGAACTGTCTTCATCCACTTGTGTTGCTATAAAAAAATACCTGAGACTGGGAGATTTACAAATGGAAAAGGTCTATTTGGCTCATGGTTCTGCTGGCTGGAAGATGGGCATCTGGTGGGGACACTCAGGCTGCATCCACTTGTGGCAAAAGCTGAAGTGGGAGTCAGTGTGTGCAGAGATCACATGGCGAGAGAGGAAGTGAGAGAGTGGAAGGAGAGATGTGCCACGCTCTTTTTAACAACCAGCTCCTGACTGGGCATGGTGGCTCATGCCTGTAATCCCAGCACTGTGGAAGGTTGAGTCAGGAGGGAGGACTGCTTGAGCCCAGGAGTTTGAGACCAGCCTGTCAACATAGCTAGACCTTACCCCTACAAAAAAATCAAAAAAATTAGCCAGGCTTGGTGGCATATGCCTATAGTTCCAGTTACTCAGGAGGCCGAGGCAGAAGGATCAACTGAGCCCAGGAGTTCAGGGCTACAGTGAGCCCTGATCATGCCACTGCACTCCAGCGTGGGCAACAGAGAAAGACCCTGACTCAAAAACAAAAACAACCAACCAGCTCTTGTGGGAACTAATAGAGTGAGAACTCATTCATCCCTCCGGGAAGAATATTAGTATATTTATGAGAAATCCACCCCCATGACCCAGATACTTCTCGTTAGACCCCATCTCCAACTCTAGGAATCACATTTCAACAGGAGTTTTGGAGAAAACAAACCAAACCAAGCTCTAGCATGGACGGAAGCAAGAATATCCACTCCCTCAAAACAGTGCTACAGAAGTATCCCATGGTCCATTCCTGGTCAAATATCATTACCAGCCACAAGATAGTTGACTCTTGCTGTCTAAAGACATACACACTAATTTCTACACTTAGGTGATACGAAACATTGAGTTTCAAATAGTGCAAGACAGAGTGAATTTTCCCCTCTCTTGACCCTCGAGCTACAACTTTGCTCTATGCTTTGCACCTTGTGCCTTCCTAAGAGCTATTGGTTTTTACTCAAGTTTGAGAGACAAGTGTATTCACGACTGGGCTCTTGTGAGTTGTGAAGGTGGGACTGATATTGTGCAATTAACTTGGATTCTTTCAACCCTTTGAAACATAGGACCATTGTGTCTCTCTCCATTATCTACACAATTGGACAAGCAGTCACTGCGGTAAGCTCCGTTAATGACCTCACAGACCACGACCATGATGGGACTCCCAATAACCTCCCGGTGCACGTGTAAGTTGATGTTCACTGCCACCCTGCCCCCACCCTCCCACCAGGGTTTCTTGGGGTGCCTTAATTCTTCATCTTTCTCCTTGAACTTCACTGGGGGTGTCAGGAGGCTTTTCCTCCCTCGTGAGTGGTGTGGAGAAGGCTGTCTATATGTACTGAGTTGGGTCTGTGGTATGTCACTTTAATAATGGTTGTCAGGAGGCTTTGCTCCCCTGGGGTCTGGCTGTCCTGGGTCACCATATCCCACGTATGGCAGGGGATCCATGTTGGTCTTGACCTTGCCCGGAGGGACATAACTCCCACAGACCTTGATCCTTAACTTTACCAGGCTTCTCCATGGCTCCAATGCCATTGACTTTCTGTCTTGTACCACACTTCTGCTTATGTTTCAGTAGTTCAGTTTCTTAAATATTTGCTCCTGCCTCTTGTGCCGGGCCCTGGAGAGCAAGTGTTACTGACAAATGCTCTTTTGCTGGGCTAATTTCTCTTCACTGCAGCCTGGCCTGGTAGACCAGTTGGAAAGATGTACTTCGTTTCCTGGTTTTGTGCTGCGGTCCCCTGATCTATGAATAAATCGTCTTCTGGGCTGGGAACTTATAATAGAAACTCAAATTAGTGTTGGCAATCCCTGTGTTTCTGGTTTATCAGTCAATCTGATTGCTGTCCAGACTCAGCCTCTTGATTCAACACCTGTGGTGCCCAGAGGGAACCATGTGGGTGGGGGGGGTGCGACTGAGAGCACAGGCTGGCAGCGAAGACTGCAGGTGTCTGACTACCGGCTCTCCCACACAGCAGCTATGCAAACTTGAACAAGTCATTTTCTCTGTGCCTCAGTTTTCTAATCTGTAATATGGAGTAAAAACATAGACTTTGGAGCCAGACTGAGTTCAAATTCTGACTCTGCCCCTTCCTATTTGTGTGATCTTGAGCAAGTTTCTTAGCCTCTATGCCTGTTTCCTCATTTGTGATAGTACCCACCTTGTATAGGATTGTTGAGGACGAAGCCAGGTACAGCACCTAGCATACTACCTGGCAAGTCATGAGAGCTCAAGAAATCTTGGCTTTTTGTTTTTTATTTCATGGAGTACATGGGAATATGCCTAACATTCTCACAAGAGTAAATGGCATCCACTGTTCAGTGGGCCATGTTTTTGTTGTCTTTTAAAATGCTTAGAGTAGGCCGGGCTCCGTGGCTCAGCCTGTAATCCCAGTACTTTGGGAGGCCGAGGCAAGTGGATTGCCTGAGCCCGCGGGTTCGAGACCCGCCCGGGCCGCTTGGCAAGACCTCGTCTCTACAATAAATTTTTAAAAAACTAGCTGGGCATGGTAGCGCGTGCCTGTAGTTCTGGCTACTTGGAAGGCTGAGGTGGAAGGATCGCTGTAGCCCAGCGGGTCGAGGCTGTGGTGGCTGGGAGTATGCCACTGCACTTCAGTCTGGGCGACAGAGGGAGACTCCAACTCAAAAAAAAAAATGCTTAGAGTAGCAACATTAAACATAAGTTGTATTAAGAGGGAATCAAGGTTAAAGAGGTGGTTGGGGCCGGGCATGGTGGCTCACACCTGTAATCCCAGCACTTTAGGAGGCTGAGGTGAGAGGATTGCTTGAGCCCAGGAGTTCGCAATCAGCCTGGGCAATATAGTGAAACCTCATCTTTTCTGTTTGTTTGTTTGTTTTGAGTTGGAGTCTCCTTCTGTCACCCAGACTGGAGTGCAGTGGCATACTCCCGGCCACGGCAGCCTCGACCTGCTGGGCTCCGGTGATCCTTCCACCTCAGCCTTCCAAGTAGCTGGAACTATAGGCGTGCGCTACCACACCCGGCTCATTTTTTGATTTATTGTAGAGATGAGGTCTCGCCAAGTTGCCCAGGCGGGTCTTGAACCCACGGGCTCAGGCAATCCACTCACCTCAGCCTCCCAAAGGCACGGGATTACAGGCTGAGCCACCGAGCTAATTTTTTATTTACTGTAGAGATGAGGTCTTGCCAAGTTGCCCAGACTGGTCTCGAACCTGCGGGCTCAGGCTGAGCCACCGAGCCCGGCCTCATCTTTTCAATAAAATAAAAAATTAGCCGAGTGTGGTGGCATGCGCCTGTACTCCTAGCTACTTGGAAGGCTGAGGCGAAAGGATTGCCTGAGCCCAGCAGATGGAGGCTGCAGTAGCCATGATCATGCTACCGCACTCCAGCCTGGACAACAGAGTAAAACTCTGACTCAGAAAAAAGCGGTAGTGACTGGGCTCGGTGGCTCAGTCTGTAATCCCAGCACTTTGGGAGGCTGAGGTGAGTGGCTTGCCTGCCCACGGGTTCGAGACCAGCCCGGGCAACTTGGCGAGACCTCGTCTCTACAATAAATAAAAAACGAGCCTTGTGTGATAGCAGACGCCTGTAGTTCTGGCTACTTGGAAGGCTGAGGCGGAAGGATCGCAAGAGCCCCGCAGGTCAAGGTTGCAGTGGCCAGGAGCATGCATGTCACTGCACTCCAGCCTGAGCGAAGGAGTGAGACTCCAACTCAAACTAAAAAAAGTGGTAGTTTGGCAGGAAGATTGATTCAAGGGGCATGATTTTTAATGAATTCTTTCTCTGTGCAGTATCTGCCTTGACTTGACAATATCTGCTTCATAAAATTATTTTTAGTGTTTTTCTAAAGCATGTTCTTTTTTATTTTTAATTGTGAACATGCCCTAAATCTTTGCCTATAAATCCTAAATGTAGGGGAGGAAGTTTTTGATTTTTTGTTTTGTTTTATTTTGGTTTTTTTTGACAAGTTCTCGCTCTGTTATCCAGGCTGGAGTACAGTGGAAAATCATAGCCCACTGCAGGCTTGAAATCCTAAGCTCAAGTAGTTCTTCTGCCTCAGCCTCTGGAGCTGGGACTACAGGTGCAAACCACCACACCTGCTAATTTTTAAAAGCATTTTTGTAGAGATGGGAGTCTCAACTGTGTTGCTCAGGCTAGTCCTGAGCTCCTGGCCTCAAGCAATCCTCCCACCTCGGCCTTCCAAAGTGCTGGGATTACAGGCATGAGCCACTGGACTTGGCCTATTTTTAGTATTTTTAAGTGGCATTAGCAACCAAAAAGCTATGGCATACATATCTGTAAAACTGGCATTGTATATGCCTAACTGTAAACTTAATAAAACTGCAAAGTGAGGGTTGATCAGTGCTATGCATGCTTTTTTGTTTCCATTTAGGAAGTAAAATACTAACAGATAACCTGGAAAATACAAAAGAAAATTGAAATAATTGGCCCTTAATCCTACCACCCAGACACGACAATACACTGGTTATTCTATTTCTTTCCAGTCTTCTGTACTTTTGTAAACAAACTGAGATCGTGTCATCTAACCTGCTAGTCTTCTTTGCAATGAAATCATGTTTCCACATCATTTTATGACTATTACGAGTCTGTTATGATTGCACCAGGCACGGTGCTTACATGTGTTCGTTGACATCTCACACTCTCATTCTTTTACTGGAAATAAGGCTCCAAAAGAGCGCCATACCTAAGTCTTTTTTTCAGATTTCAAGCTATTGCTTTAAGTTTCCAAGATGGTAAATTAAATTCCACACTCACCCCCCCACCCCACCCCCCACGGCTTTGCTTGCTTTTTTCTTTCTTTTTACTACCATAGCTTTGAGGGGGTCCAGATAGTTTTTGGTCTGGGCTTTAAGGGTACCCACCACCCCCACCTGTGCACATTGTACCAATAAGTGGTTTTCTATCTCTCTACCTTATCCCCCTCCTGCTTCTGGGTCTCAGTGTCCACAAAACTCTTCTTTATGACTTTGCCGATCCTTAGTTTAGCACCCACTGATAAGTGAGAACATGCGGTGTTTGGTTTTCTGTTTCTGAGTTAGTTCGCTTAGGATGGATGGTCAATTATTAGGCAAAGGCAGGAACTTGAAGGTTCACGAGTTCAAGTTTTCATTCAACTATCAGGCTACAGTCTTCTGAGTCAGCTTCTCCTGAAGTCAACTCCCTTTTCCATGTTTGTCACCGCGCCTGGTCCTTTGAGGGAAATTAGGAGAAAGAGAGACCTTTTGCCTTCCAGGATCTGCCATCTGACCTTGAACCCCTTTCTTTCCCAGGGCGCTGTCCATGATTGGCCTGGCCCTGATCGCTCTTGGGACGGGAGGAATCAAGCCCTGCGTGTCTGCGTTTGGCGGAGATCAGTTTGAAGAGGGCCAGGTAAGGACAGGTGCCTGCACAGAGACCACGTGAATGACTCTAAACACCTATGAGTCTGAGCCACGGACACAAAGTCTGTTCTCTGTCCAATTCTTTCCAAGCACATTCAAAAGTCAGATACTCACCACATTGAAGTGAGACACGGAATCAGATCATTGGCTACATCTGTTCAGTTGACATAAGCACAGATAATCTTACTTTATCCTTTCCACGACAGGAGAAGCAAAGAAACCGGTTTTTTTCCATCTTTTATTTGGCCATTAATGCTGGAAGTTTGCTTTCTACAATTATCACTCCTATTCTCAGAGGTAAGAAATACCAGAAAGGATTTTCTTTTTTGAATCGTGAGGAAGAAAGCAGGGTCAAAAGACTCAGTCCTTGTTTTCTGTTTTGTTTTGTTCCCTCTTCTGTACTTGCCGTAGCTGTTGGAGAACTCTGGGACACACATTGGAAGCTAGAATAAGAGCTGCTTTTCCTTCAAGTTTTTTGAATTTCCTTTTCTAGTCTTATTTGAATCCCTTATTCCAATGATCACCTCAGCCTTGACACCAATCTTTCTAAATTATCATTAGGCCAAGTGTAGTGGCTCACACCTGTAATCCTAGTACTTTGGGAGACTGAGGCAGGAGGATTACTTGAGCCTAGGAGTTTGAGACCAGCCTGAGCAACATAGCAAGACCTTGTCTCTACAAAAAAAATCAAAAAGTTAACCAGGTGTGGTGGCGCGTGCCGGTAGTCCCAACTATTAGGGAGGTTGAGATGGGAGGACTGCTTGAGCCCAGGAGGTCTACGCTTCAGTGAGCCATGATCATGCCTCTGCACGCCAGCCTGGGCAACAGAATGAGACCCTGCCTAAAAAAAAAAAAGATTATTAATGCAAAGTCCTATTCTGAGTAAGGGAGAAGAGTCAAAGGCGGTCATATGGAAGGAATACCTTAGCCGACTGTAGATGACATTGTAGCCGTCAAGCTTTGCTCCCCAGTGGTGTTTCAGAGCTTAGAAAGAGTTTAGTGGACAGAGTTTCACTCTTGGCGTTCTTATCACTCAAGTATTCCCAAAACAACTACCCAGAGAAAGAGAATGAGACAGTCAGTATCAACAACTACCAGTAACTAAAGTGTCACAACACTCGGATATGTTTGCTACTCCATGGAGTTTGTGAATTACTCATGTGGAAGGGAATATTCGGCAACATTGGAAGCAAATTTCAAAGACCATGGTGTCCACATTTGAATCAGATGAAATTACAAAATAAATATTTTATGGGGATTTATGTATTTCTGCATTATGTAGTGGTTTGAGGATAACAGACACCTAAACCTCTTCCTGACTTGTTTTGTATAAAAACTTAATAGCTCTGTTTTTAGAGATAGGGTCTCACTCTGTTATCCCAGGTTAAGGTGTAGTGGTATGATCATAGCTCACTGCAGCCTCGAACTCCTGGCCCTGAGCAATCCTCCTGCCTTAGCCTCCCAAAGTGTTGGGATTTTAGGTGTGAGCCACTGTGCCCTACCTAGCTTTCATTCTTGTGTTACGTTCCCTCACCTCTCCCACCTCCAGACTCTACTAGAGTTTTCATGTTTGAATTATAGAATCCGTTAAAAGACACTTTTAAAACATAAAATCATGATTCTCGTACAAATATAAAGTGAACATGTGACAAAGATTTTTTAATATAATTTATTAATAAGAGAACTGGAAAGCTATTATAATCAGTTCAAATAAGGGTTTGACTAACCGATTTATATTCTTTAGAGGGGGAAAATATTTTGCACCTCCATGAAAAGAAAGAAAACATTTGCATGGCTACCACTTGTCTACTAGTTAACTTCTTTCTCTATAGAATGATGAAATAACTAGTTAAACAAAATCAAAACTGCTGTAGGATCAGACAGTTCCTGGAGGTTCCAGCATTTCACTGAAAGGACTTCCAATAATCTCTGTTGTCTTTTACGAAGTCTTGATATTTTTCCTTGCCAATCCTAGAATTTCAGAGTTAAAATAATGCTTTGTCAGGGATTGGTAAGCTATGATCCATGGACCACGTCTAGAAACCTGGACAAAACCATTCATTCAAATACTGTCTGTGACTGTTTTCCCTACAAAGACAGAGTTGGGTTGTGTGACAGAGACCAAAGTGCTCCCAACGCCTAAAATATTTACTCTCTGGCCCTTCATAGAAAAGTTTGTCAACCCTTGCCCTCGGTCATCAAATTGCTACCTGATTGGCAAGAACACAGGAACATACGATACTGATTTTCCAGTACAATTTTGATTTTCCAGTACACTTTTGATTTTATTTACTGAGTCCCATATAATCAAGATATTGTATCCAGCTCACATGTATGTCCCTGACTATGAAAATCCACAGAACCAACAAAAGTCCGCCAACCTTGGACTATCTATGGGCATATTAGATGCAATAATTTGCACGTTAGTTCTTGACCTTGGCTTTTCAGGAAATGTGGAGTTGTCTACAGGAGATAGTATGACTTGGAAGAGGGCAGGGTAAGAAGGAAAGAGAGCCCAGTGGCTGCCTCAACTCTCCAGAGTGGGGTCACTGTGAGCTTTGCTCACTCAGATGGGGTCACTGTGAGCTTTGCTCACCTGGCAACGACACCTTTCTCTTCAGTTTTTGCTTTCAAATCTTGTTTGTCCATTGTTGTTGTTGTTTGTTTGGGGTTTTTTTGTTTTGAGTCAGAGTTTCACTCTGTCGCCCAGGCTGGAGTGCAGTGGCACGATCACAATGATCATAGCTCAGGGCAGCCTCAACCTCCTGGGCTCAGGCGATCCTTCCACCTCAGCTTCCTGAATAGCCGGGACTACAGGTGCATGCCACCACACCTGGCTAAGTTTTAAATTTTTTTGTAGAGATGAGATCTCATCATGTTGCCCAGGCTGGTCTCAAACGCCTGAGCTCAAGCAGTCCTCCCTCCTTGGCCTCCCAAAATGCTGAGATTACAGGCATGAGCCACTGCGCCCAGCCTCAAATCTTAATTGTACCCAGCAGTTCCATTTATAACCTCTTGCCCATGTGTAGAGTCACGCACCAGTTTAGGTGTTAAGATTCGAGCCTGTCTCTGTCTCCTGCTATAAGACTGCGTTGCTCAGCTGGCGATGAGAGCAGTAAGGCAAATGGATAAGTCTAGAACAGTAAGTGAGAGCACCATGTAATAATCAGTGAAGGACTTTACAATGGGAACTCTGTGCATCACCACCGCCATCATGAGTTTTAATCTTGTCATTTCTCCCCAGTTCAAGAATGTGGGATTCACAGTAAACAAGCGTGTTACCCGCTGGCGTTTGGAGTTCCTGCTGCCCTCATGGCTGTATCCCTGAGTAAGTTGAATTCATACAAGTCTAGCACGAGGTTAGGTCTTACAGTAATTACTGTGACTGATTTTGAAAAGTCTGTGTCACAAGTTGCAACAAAAAGTGGCCAGAAGAATTACTCTCAGGTGCTAAACATGCTGTCAGTACTCAAAGAAGGTAGGATTGGCATATGGTTTCAGAGGGCATCGGATTAAAAAAAAAGAAAAGAGAAGAAAAGGTTTACAGGAAAAGGAGTCAACCGAGTTGGATAATTAAAGGTGTGATGCTATTTAGGCAGTTGAAGATGAGGGTGAGAGAATCTGCCAGGCTAATTGAACCCAAGACTGAAAGCTTTGTGCTTGTCAACATGTGCTTGGCCACAACCCGCTGGAAGAAATGGCACCCTGGTTCAACTGCCCCTGAAATACTTTAGATGATTATCTACATTTCCATGGCCTATCATCCTCAGGTGTGTCTACTAAGAGTTCCTGCCGGGCTCGGTGGCTCAGCCTGTAATCCCATGCCTTTGGGAGGCTGAGGTGAGTGGATTGCCTGAGCCTGCAGGTTCGAGACCCGCCTGGGCAGCGAGACCTCATCTCTACAATAAATCAAAAAATCTTCTGGCTACTCAGAAGGCTGAGGCAGAAGGATTGCTGGAGCCCAGCAGGTCGAGGCTGAGGTGGCCGGGAGCGGCCACTGCACTCCATTCTGGGTGACAGAGTGAGACTCCAACTCAGGGAAAACAAAAAACAAAAAAAAAGAGTTCCTGCCCTCTGGAAGGAAGATATGTGCATATTAGATGCATTAATTTACACAGTAGTCCTTGGCATCAGCTTTTTAAAAAAAAATGTATATTATTATTATTTTTGAGATGAGGTCTCACTATGTTGCCCAGGCTGGTCTTGAACTCCTGGGCTCAAACAGTCCTCCACCTCGGCCTCCCAAAGTGCTGAGATTATACGTGCGAGCCACCCCACATAGCCTGACATTGGCTTTTAGGTGATGGGGTTTTCTAAAGGGTAGAGTGTGACTTGAAAGAGGTAGTACAAGAAGGAAGCAAAGCCCAGTGGCTGCCTCAGCTCTCCAGAGTGCCTTCTCCCAGGCAGGTGGGGTGGCTGTCAGCTTTGCTCGCCTGGCAATGACATCTCTCTCCAGTTTTTGTTTTCAAATTTTTGTTAGTATCGAACAGGCCAGTTTTTAACTTCTTTCGCTCATACTGTAGCCATTTTGCTTGATCGCTTCATTTATACAAGAGCTCAGTATCCTTTGCTTTTTAGTATGTCTCTCTTCTTCCATAATTCTTCAAATACTGCCATGCGCCCCTAGAAGTCTCATGTATGCCTTTTCCTAAATTCTGGGCAGGAGACAGAGAACATTTTAAAAAGTCTTGCTTTATATCAGATACTGTATTTATTAATTTTTTTGAGTTGGAGTCTCACTCCATCGCCCAGGCTGGAGTGCGGTGGCACACTCACAGCCACCCTAGTGTGGACCTCCCAGGCTCAGGCAATCCTTCTGCCTCAGTCTTCCAAGTAGCCAGAACTATAGGCAAGTGCTACCATGCCCGGCTAATTTTTTGATTTATTGTAGAGATGAGGTCTCACCAAGTTACCCAGGCTGGTCTTGAACCTCTGGACTCAGGCAATCCTCTTACCTCAGCCTCCCAAAGTGCTGGGATTACAGGCTTGAGCCAACGCACCCAGCTGTGACGCTGTATTTTTTTTTTTTTTTTTTTGAGTTGGGGACTCGTGTCACCCAGGTTGGAGTGCAGTGCTGCCTGGCTAAGTTTATAATTTTTTTGTAGACACCATGTCTTGCTGTGTTGCCCAGGCTGGTCTCGAACTCCTGGGTTCACCCTTGCCTCAGACTCCCAAAGTGCTGGGATCACAGGCATGAGTCATCATCCCTGGCCCAGACACTGGATTAAAAACTTTAGGTAAATTCTCATTTAGTTGGTACAAGCCATTCTTTTTTTTTTTTTGAGTTTGAGTTTCAATTTGAGTCTTACTCTGTTGCCCAGGCTGGAGGGCAGTGGCATGCTCCCGGCCACTGCAGCCTCGACCTGCTGGGCTCCGGTGATCCTTCCGCCTCAGCCTTCCAAGTAGCTGGAACTACATGCATGCGCCATCA